GTGGAGGAATGTTGCCACTGTTAGTGTCGTAATAATCTTTCTTTTGAATCTGCTCACGCAACAGATCTTCAACCGATTTCTTCACCATATCCCTCTCAATAGCTTTCCATCGTGATGAAAACTGACGATAAAACATTACCACTGAGCATATCAATATCGTAAAGCACTAAACATAACTCAGTTATGTGCCCAACTTCTTACACAAACAAAGGATCACTTTTACAAGATTTCAAGAATGAACATACACAAGAATGAAAACAGAACATCTGACCTCATCACAACCATCATATTTATACTTCCCACCAAGCAAGTACACAACACAAAAACATCATATCAACACTAATTATCATCAGAAACATAACTCAATAACCTGCCTAACTTCAATCAATTTGCACCATTCAAAGATTAATTCTCAGCATCCTCTGATCTAAGAAGCAAAAAGAAATCTGTAGAATGAAGAAAAAGTATCTAACCTCATCACTATCATTAGATCTATCTTTCCCACCAAGCAAGCAAACAGCAGGACCTTGCCTCTGATTCTTACTCTGTAGACGACACCGATGATTCAGTAGAGGCGAAAACCGAGTAGACATCGATGATGATGCCGATGCCGATGCCCGAAGAGTCAATTTGGCGAGTGGCTTATAATCAAAACGTAATGTTGGCCTGAAATATAAACTTGAGACATGTTTTGTCTGTGTTGTTCTTGCAGAGAACAATGATGGTCTAAATAGAGTAGCCTGTGTAACGCTCATCTTTATCAATCGCAATGGCTTCTCTTCTCTTTAACACATCCAACTCCAGAATCTTCAACAACAACATTCAAAAACGTTTCTTTTAGGTTATAATCATAGCAACGCTTAGAGCCAATCCAGAATTGGGTAACAAAAAGGGGATTGAAGTAATCGATACGATGATCTAATCGAAAGTTTAACGAAGAAATCTAAAAGACTGGAAATTTAAAAGACCCAAATCGGGAAATTAAAGGAAGAAGAAACTTGAGGAGAAGCAATTGAGAAGATGATATGTAGCATGAGAGAATGTAAATACCTTGACGAAACCCTAATTTGAAACTTGGAGACAAAGT